CGAGAGAGGGATTTTTTAACTCCAGGGGGTCTGGGGGATGGGGGGCATGGAGTAATCAGGACTGAAACTCACTCCATTGAGTCTCGAACCCATATGTGCCTAGCGGGCTTCGAACTCGAGACCTCCCACTAGGCACAGTAACTTCACAACGAGCTGGGGTGGAATGCTTGGTTGAGAGAGGGACTTGTGTTTGTATGAGACCATATAAATAAGTTTGTTTTTTAAATGTATTATAACTTTTTTATGTTTAATCCAAATTTTATTAAAAATATATTCAAATTCATGAATTGTTATGATCTTTCAAATGACAAAAATATGTAATATATAAAAAGAAAAAAATTGAAGTTTTAACTGTTGAAGTTATCTTGAGCCTAAAAACACGAAACACAAATTTTAAATTCATGAAGCCTTCACAAATAATCGAATATTCCATAATCAAACTTTACTTGAACTAAGTTCATTTTTGTTAATCGAAAAACGTTAAAAAAATAATGAAATTTATTTATTTTACATCGAAACATGTATTTTTATTTCACTGGAATGCAGGGGAATATGAGTCAAAACACTGTTTACATATGAACGAAGTCCATTTTTGACATTTTAGCCTCCACACCACTCCAGATAGCCTAATCAAGTCATAATTGGCAAAATTAATTTTTATTTTTACACACTTTTTTATACATACCTCATACACATTTGTGAGAAGGCGATTTTTGTCTTTGAGCGGGATTTACAGAAATAGACCTTTCACAAAGGTGTGTATAGGAAGATGTGTACAAATAGTAAAATTGTAAATTCTTATTATTGACGTCTAGGGGTGGGTTCGGTTCTTGCGGTTCGGTTTTGACCTAAAACCAAATATAGAATCAAAGTAAAAAGTTCGGTTCGGTTTCGGTTCGGTTTTACGCTCCAAAACTTGGAACCACGGTTTGATTGGTTCGGTTTGTTTCGGTTCGGTTTCGGTGTTTTCGGTTTTTTACTAAAAAATTATCATTTGATTCAAAATTGATATAATACTTAGAGGGATCAAACATATTACATAAAGAATGCAAGCACAATACAACGACAAATAAAATAAAAATGAGAAGAGATAAATATGTCTTGAATTATATGAGTATGCGAGATAGATAAGACTGTATATATTATAGATTTAATTTGTTTGTGAGTAGTTCGAAAAAAGTTCATGAATATATACATTCTATACTTTTATGTGATATAGTTGAGATGAATATTTATTGTTTTATCAATATCAAATCTTTAAGTTATCTAAAAAAAAGTTAATTACTACTAATAACTAGTAAACACATATTATTATCATTCAATATAGCTACATTATTACAAACAATGAATGTGTAAATGAATTTATAAACTAAATTAAATTAAACATAACACAAACATTATTTTTCTAACACAAGAAAACCAAAGACTATTGATGATATTAAGATTAATTACAATTAATGCCTAACAATTAAATTATAAATTTCATATTTTAAATAATTCGGTTTGTTCGGTTCGGTTCGGTTTTGAAGGGTAAAAACCAAAACCGAACCAAACAACTTCGGTTCGGTTCGGTTTTTTACATTCGGTTTCGGTTTCTTAGTGGTTCGATTTTATTTGGTTGCGATTCGATTTAATTTGATTCGGTTTTCGGTTTTCGGTTTTTCGGACCCAGCTCTATTGACGTCTTTCCGCCCATTGTGTTATCTCGTGTTTTCTTTTTATGTTTATCTCACTAATTTATGATTCGTCATAGTAATTGCATACGTAGTATATTTCTATGGTAAATTTAATTTATATTTTAAAAATCAACACTATCATTGTTTCGAATTTATATTTTAAGAAATCAACATTATCCAGCAAAAATACCAAGCAATCAATTTTTCTAAAATTCTTTGATCAATCAATGGCGATCATTCTCCCAATAACTGTATGGAGAACATGAGGACGCGCACAATCAATCAGAGAGCGATTTCATGTGTGCGGTGGTGTACAGATGGATGTGGGAATTTAGCTGATTGTTCGAAGGATTCAGACTAAAGAGGTTGAGTGGGTTCATGGGAGCCCACTGCACGATTATAATCTGATGAAGTAAGGGTCACCAATATTCGAGTAAGGCTTTCTTTGCAAACACTACTCACAAGTGCTTTTGAACTTTTTAAAGTGATTTGGGAAAAAGTGTTTAATAGTAAAAGTTGATAGTGTTTGAGGAAAAAGTGATTTTAAAAAGTAAAAGTTAGTAGTGTTTGGTAAAATAAGTGATTTTTGTGTAATAGAAAAAGTAAGAAGCATATTCTAGCTTTTAAGTATTATGCCACAAATTCTTTCAAAATAATTTCACATCTTCTTAATTACATCATTCATCATCTCAAAATAATCATATCTTTTGTGGATTCTGTACTCACTAATTAATACTAACTTCACAATAAGCTTGAGATAATCTGGATTCGTATCTTAATCCCGAATTATTTTGTCAAATAATCTCCCTCACTCAACCATGATCCGAAAAATAATCTGCCACATCAAAAACTAAATCCTCTAATAATCTAATGGATGGAGATTGTCCCAAAAGTTAAGTGTTACATACAAACGAATGGAGGATACATGTTCCAATTTTTATTTATTTTAAACAATACCATGATTTGCTATATTCTTAACCAAATATTTCTAAGTTCTTGTAAAAACCGGATTAGGAAATGACTCGGTCAAATGACCGGGTCACGAGTCAACTCAGGCCTGACTGCTCAACCCGGTGAATGCTAGAACAACTTTGCTATAGGTACCCTATTTTGTACCCCATTTTGTACCCACTCTATTTGTGTGGCTCACAAAAGTCTAACACATTAAATGAATTGCTCCATTTTAATGAAGTGCATTTGTGAGCCACAAACATAGGGGGTGGGTACAAAATGAGGTACAAAATGGAGTAGCAATAGCATTTTTGATGCTAGAAAACCTGATAACCCTTTATAAGTATGCCAAGGAATTTTCTCTTACTATTTCGTATGACTATATATGTGCTTGTTCTTGATTGAAATGCGTGATGAATCAAGTATAAAATAATTAAAATGTAATTATATATAAAACTAAACGTAAAGATAAATATTCTTCACAATAATTGCATAACTATAATTCTCCCTCCGTCAATGTGAATTGTTCTTAATCTTTTACTTTATATATCTAACTTTTCTCAAATTTAATTTTTCATGATAAGATATTATAAAACTTTTCCATCATTTGCAATGGAGCCAAAGATTCATTATTTTTTTGCTTGAGAATATGATGGAATAAAGCGAAATGACTCACTAAACTGTCTGCGCTTCTTTCTTATGAAGCAGCAGTCAGTCCATGCAATTTTGGATGCGATTTTCACTATGGGTCATCCGGAAACAATGTCTCTGTGCTTTAGTACAGGGGTAAGATTGCGTACATCCGACCCCTCTTACCCTACCGTAGGTGGGAGCCTTTGCGGCAGTGGGGTAAATGAAAATGACAGGGATTAGTTAACTTTTTGGTCAGTCAAAAATCGTAAACTACGTAAGAACCTTTAAGTAGAACGGATGGAGTAATACTTAGTAAACCTTCTTATTACATATTCAATGATACTATTTGATATTTTTTGTAGAACTAGTATTAATTTAACAACACTAAATTTGTTTAACGTTCACCTTTAATTTGTTTAAGCGTTCTCCTTTAATTGAACCTTTAACATTTCAGTTCAAATTTCAATCGAGAAATCAGTTAAATAAGTTAATGAAAACACTATATTCTTTAACTAATTTCCTAATTGAATTTTAAACTGAAAAATTTGTGAGCATGAAAAACATGCTCCAAAAATTATGTCAAACAATTTTAAACAAATGTATCAAGTTCTCTCTATATATAAATAGGAAAAACTTCCGGTAAGGTATACCTTACCGGAGCCGCCGTGCGGCCTCCACGTTTTGAGGTCCTTCCCGGTGGAATTTTTCGATGAAATTTTTTGAGCATGTTCTTCATCAAGTGTAGTACATTCATACCAAATTTCAGCAAAAAATGCAATTGGGAAGTCAGCTAAATGATTTTTAGAAGATACCTGCACCCTTTATATACATATAAAACACAGTTATCTTACAAAAATCGTTTGACTGCCTTTCCGATTGATTTTTTTGCTGATATTTGGTATGAATGAACTAGACTTGATTAAGAATATACTAAAAAAATTTCATCGAAAAAATCCAACGGGAAGGCCCTCAAAACGTGGAGGCCGCACGGAGGCTCCGGTAAGGTATACCTTACCGGAAGAGTTCCCTATATATATATATATAATTTATTGTGTTTAATTAGGTTAGAGACATGTGAAAACATTAAGGAGGTTTTTTCAAGCTGTTTTCAGCCCGACATCAAACCAAACCAAATTTAAGCAGACCTAATCAGATTAAACTCAAACAGATCAGATCAAACTTGAAAATTATAGGGAAAACTGTCAAATAGGTCCTCGAACTTTCATAAAAAAATCAATTAAGTCCTTCTATAGGAGGTTCTGTCCGGCCGTCGCGATTTGGGATAGTTCCCGATGGAATTTTTTGATGAATTTTTTTGAGCATCTTATTCATCAAGTCTAGTTTACTCATACCAAATTTCAGCTAAAAATTCAATCGGGAACACATTCAAATTTATTCTTGAAGATAACTGCGCATTTTTCAGTTCTCGAATTAATTTGAATGCGCTCCCGATTAAATTTTTAGTTGAAATTTGGTATGCGTAAACTAGACTTGATGAATAAGATGTTCAAAAAAATTCATCAAAAAATTTCATCGGAAACCGCCCCAAATCGTGACGACCGGACAGAGTCTCCTATAGAAGGACTTAATTGACTTTTTTATGAAAGTTCGGGGACCTATTAGACGGTTTTTCCAAAATTATAAAATACACAGATATTTATTTTGACCAGACTAGTTCAAATCGGTGACTAAACTAGATTTAAATAGTCCAAAACAAAATTCATTCCTAAATTACACCACCGTTTCTGCAATGCATTTACGTGTCCATTTATTTGTACACGCAAATGACCATCTACTATAGGGTTCGATTTGATGAGCTATAGATATAGAGATGACGTCTGCTGAGCGATTCATAATTGCTTCGTGTTGTTCGCGATTGCTGTTTCGAAGTTAATGCATGTATTTGCAGTTTGCAGAAAATGCCTCTGATCAGCTTCTGTTTCTCTGCTACTTCACTGGTAGGCTTTGCAGATCTCTAGTATCTATGCTCATAAATGTGTGATGGATCAATGGATTTATGTCTGAGAATTATGCTTACCGTTTACCGTACTTTGCTATGGAACTTTATTACAGTATCTTCTGTTGTTTTTCGGCTTACTCGCGATATAAATGTGATTTAGTGAGATCCGTTAGTGTTGTAGTTGCAGTAATTGAAGAGTGAAGAAAGAAGGTCGTTCCGCAAGGAAAGGAATTCAAAGTAGGAAGTGGAAATGGAGAAGAGTGTTCTGGACTCGCGGCTATGGCATGCTTGCGCTGGAGGTATGGTGCAAATGCCTCCGGTGAACTCGAAGGTCTTCTACTTCCCGCAAGGCCACGCTGAACACGCGTTCGCTGATGTCGATTTCTCTGCGTTGCCTAAAATGCCTCCCCTGATTCTATGCAGAGTCAATGCGGTGAAGTATTTGGCGGACCTTGAATCAGATGAGGTTTACGCGAAGATCCAGCTGGTTCCTGTAGCGAACAATAACGATCCTGACTTTGAAGATGCGGTGAAAGGGACCGATTCATCTGAAAAGCCGACTTCATTCGCTAAGACATTGACTCAATCCGATGCCAACAATGGCGGTGGATTTTCTGTTCCCAGGTACTGTGCGGAGACGATATTTCCCCGTTTGGATTATGCCGCAGATCCTCCCGTCCAGACAGTGATCGCCAGGGATGTTCACGGTGAGACCTGGAAGTTCAGGCACATCTATAGGGGGACACCAAGGAGGCATTTGTTAACAACAGGCTGGAGTACGTTCGTGAACCACAAAAAGCTAGTTGCAGGCGATTCAATCGTGTTCCTGAGAGCAGACAATGGTGATCTTTGTGTTGGAATTCGCAGGGCCAAAAGGGGTGGCGGAAACCTTTCATCCGACACGTCATCCTATTGGAATATGGGTTCGGGAGGCTTTGTTGGATTTTCGTCCCTTTTTAGGAAAGATGAGGATAGAATGAAGATTGGTGGTAGTACCAATGGAAACCCAAATTCTCCTACTGGGGGTTGTAAGCAAAGGGGAAGAGCGAGTCCCCAATCTGTTAGTGAAGCTGCATATCTTGCTGCTACTGGGCAACCATTTGAAGTTGTGTATTATCCATGTGCAAACACACCAGAATTCTGTGTTAGGGCATCATCTGTCAATTCCTCCATGGCTGTACGGTGGTCCATAGGGTTGAGGTTCAAGATGGCTTTTGAAACTGAAGATACTTCTAGGATAAGTTGGTTCATGGGAACAATATCTTCTGTTCAAGTTTATGACCCCATCCTCTGGCCCAATTCCCCATGGAGGATTCTTCAGGTAATCTAGCTCTAATTGATAGAACAATTCATACTAACAATTCACAGAATTGATCAAGAACACATTATCAAGCTTAGGATATAATTTGCTAAAGTATTTATCTCCTCTCTTCGGAATAGGAGAGTCTCTATCTCCTCTCTATCTCTACTACTCGTACAACTTAGGATCTGTTTTGTAAGGGTTGGTTTAATGGCTCAATATTCTTTTAGGAAAAGCGTGATGTGAAATCTGGATTTCAACAGAAAAGTTAAATGCTACTTTTAGGGGTGAGCATTCAGTCGGTCATTCAAATAACTGACGGATAACTGAATAACCGACCAACTTTTTTTGCTCCAATAACTGACCCAAACCGACCGATAAAATCACTATAACCGACCGAAAAATGACAATTGGTTTGAGTAGACGGTGCGCATCAATTGCTTGGGAAAGTTGATGTCTTGGATGCATTTTGGTCTTGCTGAATTAAATTAAGCTCCCTTTGGAAGTTGGAGCCTCAAATATACTAGGGAAGATATTCAGATATTAAGGAGGATAGTATAAAGTTTTTTTTAAGGAAAATAGAATTTTCTCCTCATCCCACTCCATTCAAAAAATGGTGGGGAATAAAAAAGAGAAAATTGTTTAAAACTTTCTATAACACACACAAACTTTATAAAAATTGGGTCACACTCAATAAACTTTAAATATTTGTTCAAACTCATTTTATTTATATATTTCTATTATACAAAGACTAATAAATTTAGCATATGTAATACTACGTTATAAAACTCAATCAAATTTAGTATTCCTTGTGTATTTTCCATGGTTAATCCAACGCTAAATAATTATTTTGCTTAACACTCCCCCCCCCCCCCCTTTCCCACCACTTGCCAGGTTCCAAATGTACCCTTGATGTCTCTTTGATATATCATACTTGTATGGGAGGAAATCTTTTTTATTGTTTGTTATGTATTTTGATTAGCTTTCTGTTTTTATGCACAACAGGTAACATGGGATGAACCTGATTTGCTTCAAAATGTGAAGCAAGTTAGTCCGTGGCTAGTTGAATTGATCTCAAACTTGCCCATGATTCATCTATCACCTTTCTCACAACCAAGAAAAAAATCTTGTTTACAACCTCTCACAATCGATGGCCAATTCCCAATCCCTTCATTCTCAAGCAACCCCCTTGGGGTCCGCAGCTATTCCCGTTGTCCATCTGACAACATTCCTGCAGGCATGCAGGGAGCCAGGCATGCTCAATTCGGAGGACCATTGTTTGGAGGACTCTTACCACCAACTGTCCAGCAAATTGACTATAACGATACTGTTAATACCCGAACGGATGGCAAAAATGAAAACATCTCTTGCTCGTTAACCATGGGGAATAATTATACTGAAGACGTGCCCACGCCCCGATTCATGCTCTTTGGTCAGCCAATACTGACTGAGCAGCAGGTGTCTACAAGGAAGAAGAATTCGGGAAGTGACATGCAATTTGACCGAAAGAGCCAGGATACTACTGGTCGCTGCGATGTTTTTATAGGGTCCGTATATGTTGGGCGTAATCTTGATCTCTCAATTTTCAGATCCTATGAAGAACTACACGAAAAACTTGCAAATATGTGTGGGATAGAGAGATCGAAGATGTTAAGCTGTGTGACCTACCGCGATGCAACAGGCATTCTCAGACAGATGGGGAATGAACCATTTCGGTACTTTTTCACTAATTTTCTAACTCTAACTTTTATTTTTATTATTGACAACAATGTATTGTTGTTCATCAAAGGGTATACTAGGAATGAATGACAGCAATATAGCATCTAAACGTTTTGTTGTCTCCTACATCATGTAAAATGCAGCGAGTTCACAAAGAATGCAAAAAGGTTGGAGATTTTGATGAATCCTGGGAGCACGGTTGGCAGGTAAATTCCAATATACTTGCTACGTAAATAATAGTCCACTACTGATATTATTTTAATTGGAATTTATTGGTGCAATATGAGAAATCTAAATTCTATTCCAAACTATCAACTACACTGATGTGATTCCATCAAAAATATATCTTTCCCAACAAAAGTGCGGATGTTAATAGTGAATGTCACATTCTTGTGTAGTTGTGTACAAACCTTAAGGCTGCATTTGGAACACGGGAAATGGCAAGGGAAGAAAAATAAACAGGAAAACATTTGTTTCTGAGACTAAAATGTCGCTCATCTCTTACACAGGACTATCCTTGACTTGTAACATGTTTACCCCCCCCCCCCCCACTTCACTCACTGGTATTCATCTTCCAATTCTAAGTGGATCCCAAGTTATTAATGCTTGCAACCCTTGATAACTCAGGACATGGCTTACTGGTCTTCCAACGGCTGACTGTGGACTAAATTCATCAAGCCGAGAGGGCGCTCTTGGCATATTTGTGTAGCTATACACAAGTATGTACCGACGGCCTTAATTTTTGTGGTGTAAACAATTCAGGAACTAGTGTAGTACTGTAGGGGTGTGTTTGCAAGGTTCTTCCCGGAGATGGATAAAGTGTATGTACACTTTATTAACTTGTGACCTCAGGTTCCAACCTAATTTGTGTAGTATATGTAGTCTCTTGGAGATTTATTTGGAAGGCTAGGAACTACAAGGATAGCTATTACGGTTTGAGTTTTCATCTTACACATTAATCAATTTATTAGATTGATTGGCAGTTTTGTGACCTTTTTTCCCATCTTAGAATCTGTTTTCAGCTACATTACCTAGATGCACATGCCATATGCTACTTTCTTTCATTTCCACATTAATCTATCGCTAACAAATTATAGCAATTTCAGTAATTATACTCATATCACTAATAAGTAAGGGAGAGTCATTAGAGGAGGATAAACATCAAAGAGGAGGAAGAGGTAGTGGGGACGACACTGAGATAGAACTCTAAGATACCTCACAGACTAAAATAGAAAAAAAAATTAGAATACAATACATTCCAGAACATACCGAATACAATAAAGAGATTAATTTCATGAATGTTAATCAATTAGGCCTTGGCATCTTAGGCCTTAGAAAGTTAATCAAGTTATAACTTCGAGACCGCATGTGGTGTATTTTAGAGTCAACAATTGTCTTTATAAATTATCTCGTTAAATGAAACTTCATATTGTATTCTCATTTTCATTTACATGCATGTTACACGGTTACACACTTACCCCAAGACTTGAAGTATTTATAAAAGTAAATGTAAAAAGCGAAAAAAGTATGCAAGTATAAATTAAATTTCTAAATCTAGTCAAAGTGTTGTCACGGTTTCTGATTTTTTGTAGATTTCAAATTATTTTAAGCGGTCCAATATTATTTGAGTTTTTGCCACTTTTGTCAGTGACACTTTTGGTACTCGACTTCTAATTTTTCTTTTTTTAGTCCTCGACTATTGTGCTAGAGACACTTTTAGTCCCCGACTTCAAGGTTTCCCGCATTTAGTCCCCTAAGTATTATAAAATTGACATTTTTAGTCCTCTCTCATTATGATTTTGACACAATAAGTGGAGAACTAAAAATGTCACTATTATAATATTTGAAGGACCAAAAGTGTCACTTTTATGAAAGTTGAAGGACCAAATGTGGAAATTTTCAAAGACGGGTATCAAAAGTGTCTCTAACGCAATAGTCGAGGACTAGAAATGAAAAAAATCAAAGTCGAGTATCAAAAGTGTCAATGACATAATAGTCGGAGGACTAAAAGTGACAAAAATTCCATAATATTTAGTATACTTTCTAAAGATGCAAGTATAAACTAAAAAAGTAATTATGTGTTGTAAGATGAGAATTAACTTTCTGCTCATAAAATGGTACCCTAGTAACTACCCTATAAATACGAAACTAAATTATTCAACATTTGCAACAACATTACCGAAACAGAATACATGAACAAATAAGAAACAACAATATAACTCATACCCAAGTTGCAAATAATTGCTACTATGGTTTGCTTTTAAAGATATACGATAGTATTATTAACACTTACAAAATATAAATGAGGCCCATGTAAGGGAGGCCCAAGGCTAACTCCCCATGTATGTGGCCCATATGACAATTTGATCATCTCATGTGTTCTTGTAAAAAAAGTCTTACGTGTTTTTAACTATTGTGTCTTTTCATTCATTCCTTCCACACAAAGTTAGCTTTCTACTAGTACTTACCTGGTCGAAGCACAAGCGGTGCTATCATGCGGAATCAGCGAGGTGAACTACCAGGTTAAAAAAAAATTAGCTTTATACTGTGTAAATATACTCACTAATATCACTAGCATCAACTCAATATAGTTTGAGTACTTATGTATCAAGAATAACATCACACGGTTAAGTACGTACATTATATAACAAATCTTAGTCGAGCATCTCATATAATCAAAATTTGTACTCTTAAACTCCGGTAGTTAGATAGTCCGGATTAAAACGAAGACTCCCAGCACCACAAAATTACTTTTAGGCTTTCCCAATATGATGATCAATAGTACAATTATGATATCACTTGAGAATGCGACTCCCAAAATGATCAAATTATTAATACTCGTATAATTATGATTGTAGTAGTTGTTGGAAAAATGTGTGAAAAAATTGCATTAAATGGCTATTTTGGGGCAATTTTTTGAGTGGGGTCCACTTCCGATTTGGGTCGGGTTAAAGTGGTTTCGGATTGTCCTTGCTTAGGGCTACAATTCGATATATGGTACGCTCAAAACGGATAACGGGTGAATGAGAAATCGCTTTTCGAAGTTTACCCGTTAGAAGGGAAAACTGGGAAAAAAGGATGGGTTTCTAGTGTTAATTTCCCACACCGGAAAACCCAAGGGATTTGCAACCCTTTATAAAGGGACCCCCGCCTTATGGAGTTAAGATTCCTAAGGGTAAAGGCTCTCTCCACGCGCGCAGGGGGGGTGCAAATCAAATCCCGAATTCGGAGAAGAAAAACCGCGACTTGCGTGCGCGGGCGACCTGCGGACACGAATGTCGTCCAAAAATCTATCTCTCAAGAGATGACAACTCTGATGGGCGGCCATCAGAATACTCCATCTCTGATGGGCGGCTATCAGAATACCCCATTAGGGGTTCTGCCATCAGAGATGACAATTAATTCTTGGACTTCTCTCTGCTTGATTCTATTGAAGAAGAGCCACAACCATCTAAATATTTTTTGTCCATAGGCAGTGATGAAATTAAGAGAATGACAAAGATACAGAGAAAGTCATAAAGGCATTGAAGAAGGAGAAAATTTATGTGAGGATGCGAATTGAATAGAAGTCAGAAATGAGAAAGGAAAGAGAAAATGCCACAAATAGTCCCAGACTTTTGTGGCACTACCTAGTTTAGTCCCCAATATTACATTTGCTCATTTATGATCCTCCACTTATATGTACTGACCAACTTTAGTCCTATTTTATTTTGACGGTCTAGCCTCTGTTAATTAGGATAAACTATCGTTTCAGACACCTCTCCAAACATAACGACACTCTACAACCTCTGCAACTTTAAACCTAGCTCTTCCCCCAAGGTTTAGTGAAGAAAGCTGACGGAAGAAATGGAACAATGAAGAGATAGAAATGGTGTCGCTCCGCAATACGGTACTATATAAACTGATACTTTATTCTGAATTTGTTTAGAATCTTTGAATATGAAAATGCTGACATACTGAGGTTGTATTACCTCGTTAGCTGGGAATAATTTTAAAATGTATAATGACAGTATGAATTAGTATTGCTCCACTTTTTCTTCTCACAGATAGGGTAGATGATAAGAGCTTCTTTACTTTGAAGTTGAAGCATGGCGGAAAGATTAATCCAAATTCACAATTGGGATATATTGGTGGGACTATATGGATATTGATGAGTGGGGCTTAATTACACTCAGGGAAAAAGTAAAGGAGTTGGGCTATGAATACTTGAAGACAAAATTATTCACTTTATCAAGTTGTGGGTTCGTAAGTGAACTACTTACTGATTCTGATGTTTGGTGTTTAATGGACCATGGTGTGAGGCCTACACAAATTGAAGTATGGGTTGAAACACTTGAGTCCTCAAATACAGAATTTTGTCATCCAATTCACGAGAACGCAGCAGCTTCACAAAGCATTGACGAGGAGGAAAATGAAGACCATATGAGTTTTGAACAGGAGGATTTGTATAACAGACTATGATATGAACGAACCAATGCTGGATGATCTTGACTTTGACAAGTTTATTGATTTTGATGTTGAATATGCAGGAGTAGATACACCATGTAACTACACAATGGAAAATGAAAGTCATCAACAAATAGTGGATGATGGCTTGAATTTTTCTGGAGGTGATATTAGCAAAAAATCAGAAGGCGCGGCAGAGGGTAAGAAGTGGCCCGTTTTCAAACCATGTGTAGACATGAAGAATCCTAACTTTCGCGTCGGTTTAACATTTGCAAGCCGAGATGAGTTTAAAGAGGCTATACACAACTATGCTTTCAACAATGGGAAGGATTTGAAGTTCGAAAAGAACGATAAGGTGAGAGTTACTGTTTCGTGTAAACATCCTAATTGCCCGTGGAAAATAAACTGTAGAAACCTTAAAAACACTTCTTCTTGGAGGGTGTTAGAATTTGTTGAAAACCATGAAGGATGCTCATGGGCGTTTCATAACAAAATGGTTACGGCTTCAAAGGTTGGTAAAAGATGGGAAAATGCAATAAAGAGCCACAGCAATTGGAAGATTAAAGAATTTAGAGATAAAGTCTCTTCAGATGACAAGTTTCATTTGAGTAAGAGACAAGCATATAGGGCAATGAGAAAGGCGAAAGCAGAGATTCAGGGTGAAGAAGAGGAAGACTTCACCAAGTTATGGAGTTATTGTTTAGAAATCCATAAAACAAATCCTAAGACAACATGTGTTGTTAAGCTGAGTGATGTTGATGTTACGGAAGAAGGAAAAAGGTTCTTAAGAATATACATATGTTGGGAGGCTTGTAAGGAGGGCTACAAATATTGTAGACCCATTATTGGGCTGGACGGTTGTCATTTGAAATGCAAATTGGGGGGGCAATTATTAACAGCTGTGGGGATTGATTCAAATGATAGTATATTCCCATTAGCTTATGCAATTGTGGAAAGAGAAAAAAAAGATTCATGGACATGGTTTTTGGAGTTGCTTAAGAATGATCTTCAGATCACAGCAGTCGCCGAAAGACACCTGTGGAAAGCTCTGATGTTCGAACTACAAACTTTGAAGAAGACAACTACTTTCATGTTTACATCTGCTAGTTCTTAATTATTTTGTAATCAAGATCTTTTTTCTAGTGTTAGCTTAAACAAACACCGATGTGCATCATTTGATGCCTCTTTTTTGGTATTTTTGCTATTTTATCAGGGGCAAGAATATGTCATGTTTGGATGGCTATCATGTTTGTTGGTTGTTGTGAGTGTCTTGAGCTGACTGATTATATATATGATTATCTACTTGTTTTTGTTGACCAGTTTTATCAACTATGTACATTTTATGATTATACTGAGCCAGGTAGTATGTTAATGGTAAAAAATGGGTGCAAAGAATTCTAGATTGACATTTGTAAGTGCTGAGATGTTTCTGCTATTAAATTTCCATTTTTATCATATGTTGTTTAGTATTCCGTATAATCTATTTGTTACATTATTAAGTTGTGGAATTTGAAATAATAAAACCAAGCCTGCATGTTAGTATACAGCAGCCTGTACATATGCTATTCATTTTAGGGTGTATTATTTTCAGCTTGTGTACATTTATACTGATTTTAGGAGTTGTCATTTTTTGCTACATTTGTTCCACACATGTATATGTTTTAATTGAAAAAATAACTGATTTCAAAACAAAACGCATGGCACACAAGAGAGTATTACACAAAAGGTTAAAATCTACTGGTTTATTTGTGCAAAAAGATAGTTTATGTGATTGGCTTATCATAAAACTTAAATTGTGCTACTTATTTGACTGATTTATAAAAAGTTTTAAGAATACATCACAAGTGAGTAATTTTTAACAACCTTATTACTTCATACTTGCTGAAATAGTGGAGTAGCAGGGGATAAGTAGTTCAAACAATTATTCGCTATTTAATTGCAGAATTTAATACAAAAGTTGTCATTGTACCTAATACAATTTGACATTGTTTTTATACATACATAATACTTGAAACAAAGCACAAGACAGTGCAAACCCAAATAAACACAATCTTGTTACAAACAACCTAAAAATACAAATGGAGGCTTCATTGAGTAAAACTTCAAATCCAAACTGGAGCTTTCGTAACCGAAATGGCAGATATCAGCATTCGTCAACTCTCAGAAATTTTTATTATGCCATATGAAGATCACAAAAGCAATGACTAGTGTGAGCAAATCAAATATCATCTTTTCATTGCATTTCGATTTAATAGCATCTGGTTTCTTCATTATAGGTTCCCTAACATCTTTCTCCAGCCTCATTGTTTCATCTTCCATTCCGTTAATCCTTCTTACGAGTCCCGGTATAATCTTCTTTGACCTAGGACACATAGGAGGGTCATGTCACTCAACATAGTCACAACCTTTGTTTTCCTGCACTTTTTTCCTTATTAGGAAAAAGAAAGGATAACACGTAGATGATTTGTAAGAAACTAATTCATTATAGGCAAATTTGAGAACTTCAGATCACTTGTTTACTTATCATTTACTATATACTTCTGGTTAAAAAAATCAAGATGTGAATATGTGATGCAAAGTATAAAGTGAAGTTGCAAATTACATAAGCACCGGGAAAACCATGTACAAGTATCCAGATTTTGAGAATACAATCAAAGGTACAGAGATCACAAGTTTAATAGACTAGAAACTATCCAAGATTCATGCCTCTAAGTTCTTTTCATTCTCACATTCTTGGCAATCATGTCAGTGGCAACAGATGGTCAAAAACCTTCTCATATTCCATCCTGCATATACAAAATTATATGTATGTCGTTAATCCAAGGTCAAAAGAGAGTGGCACTAAGATTGTGTAAGCAAATATTTGTTTTCTTGTTGAATCCACACAGAACTCTTTGTGTACCAGAAACTTAGTACAAAATGACTTATGACCAGACAATTAAGAATGACCCAGGAAGATGTCTCTCATGAGAACTATGTGCACTGCCTGTCATAACTAGTGAACAGGGACGACCACCCTATGTTCAATCAATTAATTCTCTGCACTGGCTTAGCCTTCGGGCTTGACTTTCGAAATTTCAGCACCTCTACACCGCAACGTCGAGTCAGTCCGGTCCTCCGGCGTCCAGTTCTTCCGGTCTGCGACGGTGGCATACTCACCCAGACGCCCAAATGCCAACTCGCCCATTTAGCCGCAGCCTTTGTCACTCCTCACACTTATTTGCAGGCAATTAAATACTCTGTATGACATTTACATAATGCCCTCTCAATTGACGGAGGTAGACGGCCAGAGTGTTTTAGGACGAAAATTGGCAAAGTCGTGAGACTTGGGGGTGTCTTATGGTCACGTAAAAAGAACAGGACTGAATTGGGTATCATTATAATAGTCTGGGACTATTTCTGGCATTTTCTCAAAAGGAAATGTGGAAGTGAGAAGGCAAATACAGTGATGATCACGCTAAAAATATAACGGTTATTATCAAATTGATAACCTTTGACAGCTAATATATATCATTTGTGGGACCAGAGAAAGTAAATAGGATATAAGGGGTCTTTAAAATATTAATACGACGAACCACTGTCACATGATCATAAAAGGAGGGATAAATAGTTTCAATTTTTTCTACTGATTATATTTTATTGGAAAAACGTATTACGGGTACATTTTATTATGATTGAATGAAAGAGAGTACAAAGAAAATATGAAAATAGAGGAAAACAATGAACAAAAAAATGATAAATATAAGAAATCTATCCCGAGCCTAAGTGCCGAGAATGCACACTCCTCCCTAGAAAAACTTGAGTTCCAGGTTTTTGAACTCCGCATAAGATTGGGATCTCGCTTTCAACATACACGATCATTGGTGTTTTTTCTTGCACATTTTATTTGAGTATTGAGGTTCGATATAGGCAAGCAATTTTTCCTTCTGATCAAGTGAACCTTATTGCAAATGCCCTCATTTTTACCAGAATCTCATATGTCCTCAATCATTGAAATGAGATTTGTCTTCTCTCTCTCTGAAGCATGTTTAAGGTATTCATCTCCCGAGTATGATAATATCTTTTTAGCAAAAAAATTCACCACAATCAATGCATAGCACTCACTGATTACCTCTAACAGCATATCTCAAAAAGTTTGCCTCATGACTGGGTTTCTCCCACAATCCCTTATGGCCTTATCCATGAGAAGCACCTCTAATTAGACAATGTGCTCATGATTAGGTTTCTCACACAATCCATTATCCATGAGAATCACCTCTGATTAGACAATGTGCTGGCAAATGCCTAAAGCATGTTGTCCATCGAAAGTGGTGGCAGATGTTGGGGGTTGTTTGGTCATTGGCCAACATCTTCCTAAATCGACCTATGGTTAAAATATTACATTTGTTTATATGGATTCGTTAGCAGCAATTACACTTCCAAAATCATTTTACACCTACATGGTGTAATAACATAGTGAATACAATATAAAAACTAGGAGAAATCGCACTTTTAATTAGTCCCTTCAATAGTACGCATATTGTAATGTACGACCTGAGTTTTCAAGTTCGTAAATGTCACCCCTCAATTCTTCAAATTATGATAAATGTAGTCCTTTGAGGGTTGACATTTACAATGTGGGCAAAGACCACATTTACATGCATCCGGACAAGTGAGGGGTGACATTTACACACTTGAGAACACAGGAACTACATTTCAATATCGTCCCTATTTGAGGGACTGAAAATGTGATTTCCCCTAAAAACAATACAACAACAACATCCAAGCCTTAGTCCCAAACGATATTGGGGTAAGGTAACATGAATCGATACATGATATCGCCAAAAGGAAAAGAAATGAAATAAAGATAAAAAAAGATAAGCTATTATAAAAAAGATAATACAAAAGAGATGGATATACATATAAAAGATAAAATAAAAAGGAAAAAATAAATATTTAAATAAAAGGATAAAAGGATTTAAAAACAATATGCAGTCATAATTTAGTTTCGTCAAGTTTAATTATCTAATTGGTCTTCAATACCATCAAACACATTTTCTCAACCAAGTTGATGGTCTAAAATTAGGAAAAACTCTTGAATTTAGTTGATCTCCACGGAGCATTATTTGAAAAAACTTACCACGAGGGAAAATTGCTTGCACATGTAGAATTTAAATACTCAAATCAAAATCGACAATAAAAATAATCTGCGACCGCATCCCATGAAAAGGAGACCCCAATCTTATCTTGAATGATAACTATGGAAGTCTAGGGTGGCTTTTTCTAGTGCATTTTAGCGAATCTTTTACTAATATAGTTTGTATCCTTTCGACCTTTTGCTTTCTTGTTTTTCTGTATTCTTTTTTATCTTTCTTCCTTGTCTTTCCCATTGAATTTCCATTAATAAAATTTCTTTTCTTTAAAAAAATGTAATATATCCATTCATACATCTCTGTAGTACCATTAGAGGCATTTATAACTTCTTTATGATTTAGGCATAAGAAAGATACGGAGTAATAAATTTATAATTTGGAAAAAATGCACTTTTAATTTGGTCCCTCAATTAGCCACCATATTGAAATGTCAAAACCGTGTTTTGAGATTTTAAATGTCATCCCCGAATTGACAGATGTGTTGTAAATGTCCTTCATGCAGTTTATAATCCATCTCCAATTCTAGGCTACCACCAAATTCACCGGGGATGACATTTGCAAGACATCTGTCTATTTGGGGGTGTCATTTACAATTTCAGAAACATGAGTCTTACATTTCATTATGATGACTTATTGAGGGACCAAAAGTGCAATTTTCCTTTATAACTTTGAGACAACGTGTGGATGTGATTCAAGGCAACAATAACTTTATACATTATTTCTTTAAAAAATACTCTTCATTTCATACACTTATCTGCATTTTGTCATTACACTTCCAATCAAAATTAGTTGTCACAACTTCAATCTAGTTACTTTTTTGTTTCCAGTTTCATGTGACATTTTTGTAGATTTCAAATTATATTCCCTGTGGTCCAATATTATTTAATGTACTTTCTAAATATGTGTATGTAATTACAAAAAGTACTTATTTGTCATAACAAAATAATTAACTTTACGTTCATAAAACAATTGTAACCTTAGTAATTACTCAATAAATAC